GCGGACGGCTCGGTCCACAAGGGTCTCGTCGCCAAGGACCGTCAGGTTTGTCCGGTGGCGCAGCGATATCTCGAAGCGACGCACAAAGTTCGAGACCCAGTGATCGGATGCCGTAAATGGCGGCGATGCTTCTCGCCCTTCAGCTTCATCCGCGTAGAGAACGAGTATTTTTACTGGTTGGCCTATATAAGTAGTTTACAAGGTCCAGTTTGTCCCGGTGCAAGGGCAGAACTGGGGTCTTCAGGTCCGCCCGAACGATCGTTTACTATCCTAGTAGACGTATTGTTGTGGGAACGTCTTAACTACATTTGTAGCTAGAGTTCACGTGGGAATTCCAACACCGCAGTACCTTGAGTAACGTGGCGTTCCGCGGCATTCGTTTTGAAAATGGGGGCAAAATGAAGTTTGAACGTTTTATTTAAGTACGATGTGTAGAGTGTACTAACTTAGGGAGTTTTGTTTAACTTCACCGATTTTAGTGCTACCATAAACCCCTGAGCGATTTTTAGTATGATGGTTGAAGCACTGATTAATACCGGTATTTAAAGGTTGGAAGTTCACTCAAGCTCGAATCTTGGTGGCCATGGATGCGTCTCGCCCTCTTCTGGCCGGCGACACTAGCGACGAGGAGGAGCTGGGTGCTCGCTCTCCTGATTGCTTGTCCAGATACCTGTCAGCTGGCAACAGCACGAGTGTTACCAACGGGAAAAAGCGAAGTACCGGGCGCACAGGCAATGACCCCTCAAGTGGTTGCAATGGTGACGAAGATCTAACCGAAGATAAAAGACCACTGTGCTGCTGTCCGTGTAGCCAGTGGCCATGCTGGAAGTGGACCTTCCCAGATCGCATTGGCGACTACGAAGACTTTGCCATGTCGGCTCAGATCGGGGAGATCTATGTGTTGCGACAGACTGCGCGCGAGCAATTCGAACCCATGCTACCAGGTACAGAGCTGAGCTGCAACAAGTGAGCTCTCGATTGCAGGAGTCTGACACTGCTGCCTCTTGCGCAGAGGACGACCACATGCTGCAGCACCTCTGGGACGGCCTGTTCCCTACGCTGCCATACGAAGGACGCGTCAACGTGCGTTGGCGCGATGTGGGCTTTCAAGTGAGTTGCTGGCACGATCAGCAGCCTAACGTGCTTGAAGCGCGATGAAATTTCTGGTGTTAACTTAACTCGTGCAACGTGTTGTTTTCTGATTTTACAGAACGACGATCCGGCGTCTGACCTCCGCACTTCCGGAAGACTAGCCGTCCGGATGCTGCTCTACTTCTCAGACCACCTCAACGACGAGTTCAAGGTGAACGAAGCATTCCCATATCGTCCGACTCCTACTCACTTATTTTTCACTGCATGGCTTGGTGCGTAATTGCAGCGAATGCTTCGTGAAAATCGCTTTCCTGTGTGTCTGTGCGCGTTGAACCTGCTGGAAATGCTGCTGTGTCACTTGAAACTGAAAGATCCACTTCCGCTCGTCTGCCCGTGTTGCGGTACTAAAAATGCTGAGCTTGAGACATCGCAGAAGCCGAGTCGGTCACATCCTGAGCTGCGTGGGTTTGTGGCCCTGGTGGGGAACGCGTCCTCACTCGCGTCGTCCGCCTTCTCACAATTAGCGTGCGCAGAAGGAGGGCCAGCAGAGATTGCACTTACACACATATTCGCGCACTCATTGTTAGTGATGGATGCCGTGTGGAAGCAACAGCTGCAGCGAGATCCGACCACAACGCTGATGCACTTCCGTGAAGCTCTTGTCGAGACAAGAGTACGGATTGTGGCCTTTCTCTCACGTCAGCGCATGCCTCTGACGCTCGCAGAGCTCGATGTATGGGGCTATCGACAACGAGCACGTTGCCGTAGCTTCCGCAAGACTGCATAAATCTAGGTCGAAACGTCAGATTTTTGTATTCGTAACTAGCGATCAAAGCATACACAGTGAGTAGATGAGCCTTTGTATGAGAGCTCTTACTGCACGCTCCAGTCGATGGGTTCCTTGCCGTGCTCTTTGAGGTAGCTATTGGCACGTGAGAAGCATTTGGAGCCCAGGAATGGCGCGTTAGTTTTTGTGGCTCCTAGTGGCGACGGGTGTGACGAGCATACCACCAGATGCCGCCTTGAATCGATCAGCGCACCCTTCTCCTGTGCAGGTTTCCCCCAGAGCAAGAAGACGACGTTGGAGGCGTCTTTATTGACTTTGGAGATGACTGCATCCGTTAACTGCTCCCAGCCACGCTTCTTGTGAGAATTCGGTTCACCTCGACGCACTGTGAGTACCGTATTGAGGAGGAGAACTCCCTGGCGACTCCAGCAAGATAAGCAGCCGTGGGTCGGGCGTTCAATGCCAGTATCGCACATAACCTCCTTGAATATGTTCTTGAGACTCGGAGGAGGTGGAACTCCGTGACGCACCGAGAAGCTTAATCCGTGCGCCTGCTGTGGTCCGTGGTATGGGTCCTGGCCCAGAATGACTACCTTCAGATTGGAGAAGGCGCAGTCTCGCAACGCCGCGAACACGTCGGTTGGCGGCGGATATACGGTCTTTTTGCGACCTTCCTCTCCCTCCAGGAACCTTGTCAGCGTCTGGAACGATCCGCGTGCAAATTCGTTCTGTAGCAGATCGAACCACGACTGGTGCATGAGCGAGCGGAGCCGCATCATTTTCTGCAGCTCCGAAAACCTCGTCACAGGAAGAGTTTCGCCATCGTGTTCTTCCTGGTCTTCTTTGAGCTCTTTCTCCTCCTGGCACTGCTTCTCAACGCTGCTAGTGGTTGGCGCACCATCAGGCTCAACCCTCTTGGCTTGCTTAATCTTGTCCGAGGGCAGGCTATCCAGTGTCGTACGACGCTTCTTAGCCGGCGGCTGCGCACCGAAGAACGAGCGAATGTCGCGCGTTGACCCTGTCATCTTATTTTTAATGGTCCGGGAAATTTACTGACATGTGAAGTATTATTGTTCTTTGCAGCGATTTTGGCATCATCCTTTCAACTGCGCTCTGACTATGCCAAAACTACAATTATACCCAAGCGTCACACTTTTACGGATTGGTCGATATTTTCTGACATCACCGGGGATCCTGATACTGAGTGTAATCGTGAGAGAGAGGCAGACTGATCCATTTAACCTTAGTTTCTAGATGTCTGGTAAATCCTAAGTCTGGTTAGCAACGCCGGTGTCTGCGATAGATCCGGTGGTTGTGCGAGGCTTGTCAGGTCGTGTGACTGCTCTCTTGGTTCGTCTTCCAGTGTATTGATACTGTAAGGGGGTACGTAGCCCTAAGTGTACCCTGGTTACATGAAGTGTGACACTTCACACTTCAGGTGTATGACACGTCATACTCCGGGATATTTAATACAAGGTACCAAGGTCGTTCAAAGCCAACCATTGGTCAAACGACATTGCATTTCTATAGGTAACTTATAGTTTGTATTAAACCCAAACTTAACCTACCTATAAATATTCTCAGTTTACAATCTACCTTATTTAGGTCACTTCGCTCTCTTTAATAAAGAGGGGACCTGTGAACTGCCGTTCACTGAGAGTTTGTATACTCTCGGAAGATAACTTCCTCTAGCGCAAGGTGCTGTGTGACCCCGTCACAGATACACCCCTGGAGTCGTGTTCCTTGCTCCATCCGTTCTGGTGAGCGCCGTTAGCTGCCTGAGTCCGGTTGTCCAAAACTCTTGAGCGGTGCCTTCGATAGATGTTTCCTCGTGCTGATATACGACCCGATTCCTTTGGATCCACAGCGTGGTGGTGCATACACTGGATAGAATACGCCAGATCCTCGTCCATTCTGCTCGGTAGAGCTTCTCGTCATCCGGATGAGCCGCTATGATGCTTCTCACGCTGGGCGTATTTAACGCCGGTGCTTTCCTGGCCGCGCAATTGCTGCGGTACTGTTCGCGCCGAATGATTTCTCTGTGATCACCCGTCCAATGACTGATTAGCTTGGACCAGCACTCCTGCGCACATGAACACTCCCAGAAGATGTGCGATAGGGTCTCCTTCACTCCTTGACACTCTGGCAACTTCCGGCAGCTATTATCAATTAGTTGGCTTTCGTGGAAGAGGTTTAGCTGTGCCACAGCGACCCGGTACGCCACCCAAACTTGGTACACTGTTAGCTCGTTACCATGGATCCAGAGCTGCTTCGGTAGTTGGCTTAGGGCCCCGCGTTGCCACTCGTCGGTTCTCCTCCGTGCCTCCAGTCCGTCCACTTGGGTCTTTAATCCTTTCTCTGCCGCTTGGTAGCGTCTGAGAGGCTGCTTGTTTAGAGCTGACAGCACTCGCTTGTTAGCAATTGTCGCCGGCACCTCCCATTGTATGCCATAGATCGAGGGGTGTGCCTCGAAGACGATGCTCACGTCATCCTGACCGTGCTGAAGCACTTGAATATCCGGGTGCACCTCTTCCGCTGTCTCGGGGCTCTCGACTACCCTCCAAGTTATGCCGTTGGGTTGTTGATCGAGTTGGATGGTGCATGCCCCTCCAGCGCAATTATCCGTCGACACTCCGATGACGCGTGCCTGGCTCCCAACTCCAGTTGTAGGAGTTGATGAGCTCTGGTAGATTCCGTAGGCGTAAGGCCGGGTTGACCTGCATGGATTGCCCTATGTCCAACCGCGGCGAGCTCCTCAGAATCGCTATTGCCCAGCGCCGTAACTTTAGTTGGTGATGAGTCTGCTCACCTGCCACGGAAATTATCATTGAGTATGTCCACCTGTCTGTCCTGTGAATTGCCAAGTCGGAGATCGAGCATTCCTGGATACGGTTATACTTTCGGCTGTTGAGTGTGGCTCCCGTGCTGTCTACGACCCACGGATTATTCGCCCAACTGTACGTCGGCCAGAATTGCTCTTCCGACGTCGATCGTTCTCGATCGGAGGGTGGGAGCAATTGTGGGAGCTTCACTATCCACTCACCATCCGAGAACCAGCTGATAGATCGTTTTACCAACTCGTCATCACGAGGCTGGACCTGCCTTAGGTCGTCATTAGGCAGCCGCGCTGTTTGCCACACCCATTTTCCCATTGTGTGCGCTAGTGCCACTCCGAAAGCATCCAAACTCCGTCGACTTCTTCCGGACAACTTTTTCCTGGGCGTTATACTGCCGTTCCAGGACACCGGGAGGCCCCTGAACATCCATGCCTTCCACGCATAGAAATACCGATTCTTTCGCTGGATTAACCATTGGAGAGTATGCTTCGTTCGTTGCGTCTGACAGGCCAATTCAATCGATGCCAAACCTGCTCCGCCTGCCTGTTTGTGTGTGAGCAGCAGGGCTGGACTGATTTTATGGCGTGAAGACTCCGTCGAGGTGGTTTGGCGCCACAGAAACTGTTTCTGTAGGTTGTGGAGTTGCTTATTCGCCCACTTGGGCATGTCAAACACCGCCGCCGTGAAGAGAATCGACGGCAACATGATTACGATGAGTATCATGATCCGAAATTCGACGCTAGTGCCCATCTTGGCCGCTGTCGCGAGACGCCTCTGGTTTTTGCCCAATTGACGTCCGTGAGCTTGCCCGTTCCTACTTCATAGCCCAGATATCTCACCGTGGGTCCCGGTTGAAGCACTGGGATCCCGTGAAATTGGGGAACTGCCACTTCTTTGCTCAAAAAAATCGCGCAGCTTTTTGTCGGTTGGACATGCAGCCCCGACAAGCGCCCGAATTGTTCCACGATCTCCATCACTCTTGGTAGTTGCCAAGCCTCCTTCAAGAACACGGTGGAGTCATCTACGAAGGCCGAAAAGGTATGCGTGACCCCTAACATCCCAGGAATATCGATTCCAGAGAGTGTTGGGTCCTGATGAATAGCCATAGAGAGAATTTCTGCTGCTAAGATAAACAGCAAAGGCGCTAATGGGCAGCCTTGCCGGATGCCGGACACTACGGGCTGCAACTCCGACAGTTCTCCATTTACTAGAAATCGCGCTGTGGTTCCGTCGTGCAGTTTCCGTATCATTTCGATGAATTCCGGGGAGAACCCAAACTTGCGTAACACCAGAAAGAGAAATTCACGCACAACTGTGTCATACGCCTTACGAAAGTCCAGGAGAAGTATCAGTTCGCTTAGCGCCGCTTTCAACTCGGGATGAGCTGTCGCTTTTGCTAATACTGCTAGCATCATCACTACCGTTTTCAGCATCTGCCTGCCGTACACAAATCCCTGCTGCGATTCGCCAATTGGTTTCCCCAACACCCGCTGAGTCCTTGTCGCTATGACTTTGGTGTGAACTTTGTAAGCTGTTTGCAACAACGAGATGAACCTAAAGTTCATCGCATCCGTGGAGTCACCTTTCTTTCGTAGCGGGATGATGAGGCCCTCTAGGAACGATTGAGGAGGGTCGGCTCCCTTCAAAAGCTCGTTTCCAATGGCAACCAATGCTGGTACCAGAACCGCTTGGTGGTCCTTGAAAAAATCATTGTTAAGCCCATCCGGCCCCGACGCTTTATGACGATTCAGCGCCCTAAGGGCCTGGATAACCTCATCCTCTGTAATGGATTTCATCATCTCCATGTTGTCTGCCACGGAGAGCAGCCGCTCAGCAGGTATGGTGACGAATTTGTCAAATTCGTTTTCCAGGGTCTGCCCTGCGTAAGCGTTGTGGACTTTGCCTAGTATAGGCTGCCACTCGGACCCGAATTTACTCGCTAAGTTCATTCCCCGGGTAAACGGCTCTCCGTTGATGCGTTCAATCGAGGAGACCGTCTGGTCCTTCTCCCAGCTGGATACACGTTTGTAGTCCCATCGGAGTTGGTCCATCGTCCGCTCGAGCTTTTGACCAAGACGGACTAGGTGTTCTTGGCGTGCGTCCTCTTCGGAGACCGCTAGCAGTCCGCATCTGGTGAAAATTTGAGCCCAGGTTTGGGCCCGCAACGCCGCCACTGTCTGCTTCCGTCGCTGTGCCTCGCTCCGAGTGATTTCCCGAATGCAACCTCCACACTTTCCTGCCGTCTTATCCCACGTACGTGTCGATTCCTCTCTCCCAACTCCCACTCGCATGAGTGCTTCCAATACCGCTGTTTGAACTCTTGCCGGCTGGGACGATCTAATTGGGTATATCACTGACCTGCGTCGGCGACGTTGCCTCCCTGTGTGTACTTTGTCGCTGAGATGTAGCCGTACCCGCTGATGGTCCGAGGGGGCCGCCGGTTCTGCTACTTCAACTCGGTCAATCGCTGCTGTCCAGACACACGGGACGTAGTAGCGGTCAATTCTGCTTGCCGCCTCAGGTCCCCAGTATGTAAAGAATTCGGTTGGGTCTTGGCCCTCCTCCTCCTCATCATCAGCTTGTTCTTCAAGAATACGTGCATCTTCCAGCTGCAGTTGTTGAACAAGCCCGGTTAAGGCCATACTTTCTGGTCGACCTGACCGTTTGCCGCCAAGTCGGTCAAGAGGACAAGAGGACTCTGAACGCTGTTAAAGTCCCCTGCAACGATCGTGTCGGCGGTTGTCCACTTCGTCTCTTTTAAGCGTGTGAAGAAAACTTCCCTGTCGCTGTGAAGGTTGGGCGCGTAGAGGTTTACGACCTGCAGCGATTCCATTGTGATAGCTAGCATCCTATTAGTCCACTTGTCTTGTTGCCACGGACTCACCGTGTCTGCTATACTTGGGTTGAGTAGAATTGCTACCCCACCCTGTTTGCTGTCATGTATACTCCAATATGACAAGGTGGGCCCGCCTGACTGGATGCGTCGCCCCCACAATCGTTGCCATTGTTGTTGGAGCTCCTCCGCTTCGGCTTCGGAGCTCACGTGAGTTTCTTGAATTAGCCATGCCATTGGCCTTTGTTGCACCGGTGTCCGGTGCCATGAACCGAGCCACTTCATCCTACTCCCTTTGGTAAAGCCTCGGACGTTTTGGAGCTCAAGTCTGCGATGCCGCACTCGTCCTATCCGTGGTTTTCTTCCCGACCTTCCTACGTCCTCGTTTCGCAAAAACATATTCCGCCCGTACTCGTCACTGCCATCTCCAGTCCGACCCCCCCCCTTGGCGATCAGTAGTTATGTGACTACTATATTGGTTGGTTGGATCCGGTCCCCCGTGCTCGATCTCTGTAGCAGCCGTTCGAGTCCAGTTGACGTTCACGCCGTCTGGTGTAAACGCTTTCCTGAATGAGTCTGCTTCTTTGAGGGCTGCAAGGTGCCGAATCAGCCTGGAACGGACTCCTTGTTCGTCTACGTCCTCCTGGTGGGCTAGCACTTTGATCGCTTTTTCGTACAGTAGAGAGCAAAGAATGTGTTGTGCCAGTCGCAACTTGTTGGCAGTATCGCACAGCTTCAAAATCTCGTCCTTGCCGTATCCATTTCCTCGTAGTCGAATCCAGTCGAGAGTGTTGTCCGAAGCTTCGTCCAGATTTTTGGCTCTCGGGCGTGCGATCCTGGTGCGCCAGTCCTCAATCCATTGTTGCGTCGCTTTGTCCTTGCATCTCGTGACGTAAATGCCTAACTGGCCATGTAAACATTCCCGTCTCCACGCGGCCGTCCACTATTGTAGTGCCGGTTCCGCTACGGCTGTCAACAATTCATCCGGATATGGGAGCCGTTGTAGAAGACGAACGAGCTTGGCTGGTTCTCCTTTTGCTGCTGCTGCCCATTGCGTAGTACTTCCAGTGGCCAATGGGAACTCGGACTTGGCGGACGAAGGCCAGGTTGTCCCGAGCTGCTGCCACAGCTGCGACCAATTCGAACGGTTCACCGTCACGGCGTCGTTCCCTGTTCCGACTTCATCTTCTTCCATTGGGGTCGGTTGAGGCGCGTGGGATTGCGAGTCCTGTTTCGCCCGCACTAGAAGTCGTATTTGCTCACCTTTCATCGGTGTGAGGGTGTAAGGCCTCTTTTGAACGGACTGCTTCGACTGAAAGTACTTTGGAGCTGCAGTCCGAGTTTCCTGCGAGCTTTCCTGTGAACTGGACGCGGAGGAACGTAGTCTGCATCCGAGTCAATTTCTGCTTCTGGTTGCATCCCCTCCTCGTTATCCAATTCCTCCTGCGCTGCCTCAGCTGCAGACTGCTGCCATTGCCGAAGGATTGCAAGGGAAATCTGATACTTCTGCATCATGCGGCATGCAACCGGCGAATCCTGGGTATCCAGTCGGGTCGATAGCAACGCTGTGCGTTCCTCAAGTGAGAGCGCTGATACAGTATTGACCAAAATGGCAAGGAGTTCGGTGTACCTAGCCGGATCTGCCTTGTCGAGTATCAAGTGGATCTCGCATTTGAGATCATACGAAATTGACTTTCCTTTCATTCGTTGCTTCAACTCGGGAATGCTCCCGCTCCAATTGGCAGGGTCCCAAGGGTCCAAGTCTGCGTCTTAGCCCTGATCCGCAGACGAACTGGAATCCGCAGCCATCGCTGTAGCCGTCGACATCTGCGCTGTTTCTCTACTCTCTTCAGCGGCTTCCGCCTCCTTAACCTCTTTTTGGCGCGTATGCACGAATGCGGAGTAGTGATTGCCCCAGAAACGGACAACTAGCGGCGGCGTCTTGTCTTTTCGTTTGGCCTTTCGGACTTCGGCTAAGCATCGCTTCACCTGGAGCGGAATCTGCTGACCTGTGTCGTAAATCTTGCGACCCCTGGACACCAAACTGGGGCGATACTTGGAGCAGTACCATAGATGTTTTCCATCCGTGTTGTAGGCAAGCACGAAGATTGGCCTCTGGAGAAAGTTGGCCGCCGCGGCCATGAGCTAGCTGCTGCCCCAGACTTCTCTCGGGAGGAGCTCATCCCGTTGCGACGACGAGTTCGCGAATTCCTCCAGATACCATCTGAATTGCTTGCTCGATTCTTTCGAGTCCATTCCATTCCAGCCCCGGCCCACGTTGACCAACGTATTGGTTCGCGTGAAGTGGTCGTATTGCTCTACGTTATTCAACAGCGCTGACCATTTAATGCCTCGCTTCAGCGTTAATGCGAGTTGTTCCAGTACCCTGCCATGCGCTGCAAGGTCATGATCCACGATGGCCTGAGCGAGTGCCAGCACCATGCAATTGCCGGTTGCTGGTGTTGCAACTTGTCGGAGTCCTAGCAAAGCCTCGATCTCCGAGAAAGACGTGACCGCTTGGATCGCGTCCCCACTACTTGGTAAAGGGCTGCCCTTAAACGGTGACATGGAATCCGTTAGGGTTTCCATCTCTTCGCGCTCCCGTTGCTTCAGCGCTACTAATTGGGGTGATTCGATCAGTTTTGGTGGTTTCGCCTTGACCAAGCGCAGTTGTGCTCGTTCCTTTGGCGTGAGAGTACGAGGCTTCGGACTTTCAGATTCCTCATTGGACGATATCTCTACCGCAGCTTGGGCTGAGGGAGCTTCTCTCTTCTCTTCCTGGTCTCCTTCGTCCTCATCTTCTTCTTCGAATACTGCAAACCTAGAAGAGATTCATTCCTAACCTTTTCTCGACTAACGCTGCTGGATGCGCGTATAAGGTTCTCCCTCGCGAAAGCGGAGCGGTGGCCCACTTCTTTTGGGGTTGAGGCACTGGTGGCTGCGACTTGCGGTTGTCTGATGCTGCCGGCCCTACCGGATACGAACCCGATGTTGACCCACTGACTCGCTGTGAGTCCAGGGAGCCGAGATCTGGTGCTGGCGGTGCTACCGCCTCTCGTGCTGCACCGAGAGTCTCGTCTCTGCGGCTTTCTTGAACTCTGAGAGACTGGCAAACGGTCGCGCCATATCTTCCAACTTCGTTACCTCCGTGTCGCTCGCCACGCGGCTGCCTTCGCCCTTGAGTTGCTCCGCTGTGTACCGGCACCGCAACATCGTGTGCCCCACGTTCCCACATTGGAGACACTGCAGGCGGTTTCCAACTGCTGGATGTTTAAGCACCAGTGGCCGGCCATACCAAATTACTTGCACTACCCCTCGCAGAAATTTCGGGCATTCAGCTGTCTTCATCGTGAGTCTCCACACCACTGAAGATCCGGATTCCGGATAATAGACATCGAGGTTTTCGAACTCAATGTCTGCCTTAATGTGCGCCTGTAGGTACGCATTTAATCGCCCAACGTCCGTGCACCGGGGTACGTTGAAGATGTCCACCACATACTCTCGCTGCGTGTCCGTCCGTACGCCATCATTGCCCAATTGCCTGGCCCATATCGATCCTGTATCCGGCTGATGCGGGTTCCGAAGCCTATAAACGGCTCGCTTGAACGTAACTTGGGTGTCCTGGAACCTACGGGCCGTTGCTCGGTCGAAAGTGTGGGAATGAATGCTGCGTTTCGTATGGTCGTAGCTGATGGTCTTGACCAAATGCATCAGTTGACGTAAGTCATTGCTCGAGACACCATGCTCCTCTGCAGCCAACAAAATGTCATCCTTGAGAGCTCTGGTGGCTTGCCTACTGGGTTTGACAGTAACCCACTCTCTGAGTTGCAGGATGAGTTCTCCTTCGACTTGTTTCTGGATCGTTCCGTAGAGGCGGATACGTTCCTTCGAGTCTAAAACGCTCTTAAGGAAACCTGGCGCCTTCCGACAAAGAATAATTCCTTCCACCATGCCCGTGATGATCTTCCATTTGTCCTTGGTGCCTTCTCGAAGACCTCGTCCACTTGGTGCCGCTGGCGGCCTTTCACACAGCTTTCGCAACGAGACGATTTCAGTTTTGGGAAAGACCGCTGGATTGAACATGTACGTGGTGTACTGAGGAGTCCCCGCTTGGTCGGGTTCGGTGCCTACTGCTCCACCAGCTCCAGTTCCTCGCTTGACGTTTTCCGCCCATTGGTTGATCGGGGTCTCGTGCGCCCATTTGACCCTGCTGACCATACTCTGCATGGTGTGCTTGAAAGACCACGTTGTGTTGTAGAGGTCTTGGGTCGCTGCTGTTGCTAGCCGGACCCAGTCCACGTAGCTGCCTTCCACCGCCACACACGCTTCCTTGAACAACTTGCAGAGCCAAGTTCGGTCCTCGCCTTTCAGCCTCGGATATTGCCGCTTGTTCGCTGGCACCATCTCCACATCGACTTTGACTGTATCGTGTACGATCGTGTACAACTTCGCTACTGTCTCCATCCATTCCTCGCGAGGCTTCTCCTATGGTGCCACGCGCATCGCCACAACCACATAATTCTTCCGGACAGGCCGGTGAAGGGGGTTGTCCCGCCTCTCCATCCTGGGCACTCGCTTGCGCTGCTGGGGAATGGCCGATGGATGGAGGATCTGCGTCTCCTGCTTCTCCTACGGCTCCTGCTTGGCGCTACATTGTTTACGTTCGTGTGGGAGTGCTTCCGGATACCGACTCTGCCAGATCCGGTTGCAACTCTTCGCGTTGGGAATCCTGGGTTTCTCCAACGATGGAATCTTGGCAAGCCCCAAAGCTGCTGTCATCCTGCTCGCTCTCCACGTGCTCCTGGTCCCCGCGGTCATCGATCCGGGGGCTTCCTCTCTTGCCCCGGCAGCTCTCGCTGCCCGAGCGCGTCGGAAGCCGACATCGTGAACTACTGTGCCCGCCGAGTTCTTGCCTACTACACTTCTCGGACGTGTCACTCACTCCTGAGCGACTGTTCCCGTACCGGGTATTTTTACGAGTGCTGAGTGTAATCGTGCCAGACTGAAGATCTCCTGGTATTGACACTGGTCGCCTTCCAAAACCCTCACGAAAAGTCTGATCACTCCACGTTTCAAACGCAGCTTTTATTCCGCGGGTAGGTGTATTTTAATCATGGTACCGATACATATACCCCCAAAACCACTACCGTTCACGCTAATTAGTCGTATCTGGGGTCCAGATCCAGACTTGGACGTAGTGGCAGATCCAGTCTTGGACACCGAGGTAGATTTGGATCTAGCGGTGGAGTTAGACTTGGATCCTGCACCCGACTTCGAGGGGGAAGCGGAAGTCTTGGACGCGGATGTGGATCCCGCCTTGGACGCAGAGGTGGATCCCGCTTGCGAAGCCGTTTTAGAGACCGGAGTCGTTTTGGGTTTGGCTTTCGGGGAAGCTCGAGCTTGCTTACGGGGACGGGGGGGGATTCGGTGCTAGGAGCGGGAGACGCACTACGCGGACGTTTCGCAACTGATGGATCTGCCCCACTTACAGACGGGAGAGGAGCAGAGACGCTGGCAGCACGAGAAGGTCCCGACAAGGGAGGAAGGGGATCCGACACGGCAGCTGTCACCAGCGCCAGTCGTCGACGAGCCAAATCCCGCTCCGATAAGCCACGATCGCGCTCCAGGACCAGCTGTTGCTGCTGAGTTTAGGCTGCAGCGAGTTGATTCCGGAGTTTTGCGGCGGTCGCATCGGCGTCTTTCAATTTGTCACCTGGATGGACACTAACGAGTGAATATGGGGTTACTAGCAAGGACTAAAAGAGGATCCATGTACTCGTGCGGCGAAGCTTGGATTCCAGCTCTGTTTGTGCACGCTTGGCAGCCGCCCACTCGGTAGCCGCCTTGTCCCGCTGGAGTTTGCTGTCCGCCAGCTTCACTTGGATCTCGTCGCGTAATTGCGTTATACGCACGAACTCCTCGAGCGCGTAATCTCGTCCGGCAGACGCTTTCTCGAGCGACTCCTTGGTATCCTGCAACTCCTCAGCAAGCTGAGCCAGAGCTACATCCGGCGACGAGGGAGGTGGATTTGGCGCGGGAGATCCTCCACGCGCCGACCCTAAGGTGGATCCGCCATGGGTGGATCCCACGTAGTCGTTGGTCACCACCTCCTCTTGGGTCAGACGCAGCTCGTCACGGAGCCGGTCCAAGCTCGCATCCGCAGCTGCCCCAGCAGTCTGGGAATCCTCCAGATCCCGCTCGAGGTCGTGGATCCGGGATTGGAGCTGGTGGATCTCAGATCTGGCGAGTGCCATCTCCCTAAGGAGATGGTCGGTTGTCATCTCGCATAACGTCTCGTTGACGGGAGGCGCGATCTAGCCGTCCGGTCAGGTCGCGGATCTCGACCGCCTGATCAGCCAACAAGAGTCGCAGGTCCTGCGACCGAGAGGCCGCACGGTGCTCCCACACCTGGATCTCCATAGCCTGGTCATGGATTTGAGCTCGCAAGGTCTGAAGTTGGGTAGTGTGCAGAGACGCAGCTTGGTCTTGGGCATCTTGAGCCGTCTGGAGCTCCGCCGTCAGGGTTTGCACCTGATCGGAAAGAGCCTGGGCTAGAGCCCGCAGATCGGTGGGCGACATGGAAGACGGACTGACCGGAGGTGTGGTGGATGGGGCCTTGCCCGACGATTTGCTGGTACGCTTGGCGGGAGACATGTGTCGCGAAGGGGAGAAAGCGGTTGTGGATGCTGGTAATGCACGCCGTGAACGCTGTTGTGCAGCGCCGACAACGTACAGGAGGCGATTGTGGTGAAGTGCTTTCTCAGAAATAAGAGAATGGGCCTGACGCGGGGTCACTATCCCGAATCAGTGACACATTCAAGTGATTAGAGAGGATTTGGGTTGGTGGCACGGATGCAAGCTGCCGGTGGTGGATTAGCCATGACGAGCAGCACCCCAGATGAAGTGACGATGGATCTGGTTTGAGCGATGTACGAGAAGGCAAGATCCACCAAGACTTACCTCGGATCCACCCTTACCTGGATTCACTTAAATGGATATGGGATATACTAAATAAGAGTGGATCGAGTGTGGATCCTATGGAGGAATGATGGTAGGTGCCACCTGAAGGTGGATCTAGTAGCCACGGTTAACAAGAAGTCAGCATCCACCGCGAGGTGCCCCGGATCCCATACTTCCGAGTTCGGATCCAAGGAGGGAAGATCCCGCATAGAAGGACCTGGATCCAGGGTACAGGGATGAGGGGTGCAGTGGATCTCGAACTTTCGTGGGACAATGGAGATCACAGACGGTTGCGAGATGATGTTGGATGATTGGAGAGCTCAGATCCACGACGAGTGTGCACTTACAGTGAAGTGGATCCAAGCGACCTGGATCCGGATGAGTGTACCCATAATAGGGTGACCATAATGATTACGCCATGGATCCGGTGGATCTGAAGATAATACAGCTGGGATGATGGGTCAAGGGAAGAAGGGACATGCAGCCGAGCCTGGTAAGTAAATTAGCATATGAAAGACATAGAAGGTAGAAATCCAGGCAGGTATAGGCTTAAATATCAATACAGACTCCAATTTGCACAGTGACACGCAAGTGCCTTCCTGCCCTCAAGAACCGGAACTACATTGGCCGTACGAGCTCGGAGAAGGTTGGGAATTGCGAATCTAGTGTTGGTAGTGATAACTGGATAGTACATTGGCCAGATCCTACAACCTAGTGAGCTTTTCCTTTACTTGTGCCGATCCGACGGTTAACCGAATTTACTACTTGGTCGGTTACACCCTAGAGGTTCTCAACTCTCAAGATCCCGTCACAGGAGGCGGCAAGTACGACGCAAAGGAACTACAAAGGCAAGGGAACACACCCGCAAGGCAACCCTACGGCCAGATCCACGATCTAGGCCCCGGATCCATAAGCTCGAATATTCGCTTAGGATTCGGAACCACCCACGGACGCAGAGTGAAGATTTTCCACTGCTGCTCCACCCCATCCCCACGTCTCGCCAAGACGCTCAAGTTTCACCACTTAAACTCTTCGGAAGTTACCGAGAGAGCAAGATCCCGCCCTACCGACGGGTACACAATGTGAGGAAAGTTCAGCAGAACACGGATCATCGGGGGACCCCCTCCGTTAGTCGGTGTCTGGGCGCAGTTGGTAAGTTGGATCTGGCAATCTCGCAGATTTTGCTGATCCCGCTACACCACATCCCCCTTGGCGCTCACTTGGGCCATGAGAAGACATTCGCCGCAGTGTCGCGCGACTTTTACTGGCCCCACATGTATAAGTGGGTGCGCAAGTGGGTGAGGACCTGCGAGATCTGCCAACGCGTGAAACCGTCCGCGTCATCGCAGGCTCCCCTGCGTCCCTTACCAGTGGCCACCGAGGCATGGCGCTCGGTGTCGATGGACTTCGTCTTTGGCCTCCCACCCGACTACGCCGGGCGCTCCGGTGTCCTGGTATTCGGCGACAGGTTCAGCAAGATGGTTCACCTCATCCCGGTTCCGGATACGATCACCGCGGCCGATACCGCGGTGCACTTCGTGGATGCAGTCTTCCGTCATCATGGCATGCCCGAGTCTATCGTTTCGGACCGCGATCCGCGGTTCACGTCTGCTTTCTGGACGAAGCTCTTCGAGCTGTCAGGGACAAAGCTGCTGATGTCGACGGCTGCTCATCCGGAGACGGATGGCCAAACCGAGCGAGTTAATCGCGTCCTTGAGGACGTACTTCGCAGCTATGCGACGTCGTTCACGA